TTTTAAAAAATAGATTTTATTGATTATGCTATTACAATGGTCCCATTTTTTCTCCCCATTATTCCCCTCCACCCAGTAACCCCACTTCCCACCATCATTCCCCCACCATAGTTCATGTCCATGGGTCATACATGTAAGTTCTTTGGCTTCTCCATTTCCCATACTACTCTTAACCTCCCCCAGTCTATTTTGTATCTACCAATTATGCTTCTTATTCCCTTCAACCTTTTCCGCCATTCTTCCCCCTTCCCCTCTCTGCTGATAACCCTCCATTGTGATCTCCATTTCTGTGCATTAGTTCCTGTTCTAATTGTTTAGTTTTTTGTTTTTGTAGGTTCAGTTATTGACAGTTGTGAGTTGTCATTTTAATGTTCATATTTTTGGTCATCTTTTTCTTAGATAAGTACCTCAACATTTCATATAATAAGGGCTTGGTGATGATGAACTCCTTTAACTTGACCTTATCTAAGCACTTTACCATTCTAAATGATGGCTTTGCTGGATAGAGTAATCTCAGATGTATGTAGGTCCTTGCTTTTCATGACTTTGAATACTTCTTTCAAGCCCCTTCTTGCTTGTAAGTTTTCTTTTGAGAAATCAGCTGATAGTCTGATGGGAACTCTTTTACAGGTAACTGTAGATACCAAAAGGAGTTTTGTAGGTAACTCCTTTTCTCTTGCTGCTTTTAAGATTCTCTCCTTATCATTAATCTTGGCTAATGTAATCATGATGTGCCTTGTTCTGTGCTTCCTTGGGTCCAACTTCTTTGGGACTCTCTGAGCTTCCTGGACTTCCTTGAAATTTATTTCCTCTGCCAGATTAAGGAAGTTCTCCTTCATTATGTTTTCAAATAAGTTTTCCATTTCTTGCTCTTCCTCTTCTCTTTCTGGCAACTATATGATTCAGATGTTGGAACGTTTAAAGTTGTCCCAGAGGTTCTTATGCCTGTCCTCATTTTTTTTTTTTTGAATTCTTGTTTCTTCATTCTGTTACATGAATGTTTATTTCTTCTTTCTGATCCAAACCATTGATTTGAGTGCTGGTTTCCTTCCCTTCACTGTTGGTTGCCTGTACATTTTCCTTCATTTTGCTATTAACGGCCTTCACTTTTTCCTCTGTTTTGCAACCACACTCAACCATTTCTACGAGCGTCCTGATTAACAGTGTTTTGAAATGTGCATCTGACAGGGTGCCTAGCTCTTCATTGCTTGGCTGTACTTTTTCTGGAACTTTAATCTGTTCTTTTTTTTTTTAAATACAATTTTTTAAATTGATTATGCTGTTAGTTGTTCTATTCCCCCCTTCATTCCCCTCCACCCTACCCCCATCCCCACCATTACCCCCCCTTTAGTTTATGACCATGTGTCTCAAGTCCTTTAGATTCTATATTTCCCATGCTATTCTTGCCCCCCCCATCTATTTTCTATCTACTGTCTATGCTACTTATTTTCTGTACCTTCTCCCCCCTTCTCCTCCTCCCACTCCCCTGTTGCTAACTCTTCATGTGATCTTCATTTCTATGGTTCTGCTCCTGATCTAGCTCTCCTCTTAGTTTGCTTTTGTTTTAGGTGTGGTTGTTGATAACTGTGAGTTTGCTGTCCTTTCACTGTTCATCTTTTTATCTTCTTTTTCTTAGGTAAGTCCCTTTAACATTTCATATAATAAGGGCGGGGTGATGATGAACTCCTTGAATTTGATCTTATCTGAGAAGCACTTTATCTGCCCTTCCATTCTAAATGAAAGCTTTTCTGGACAGATCAATCTTGGTTGTAGGTCTTTGGATTTTATGACTTGGAATACTTCTTTCCAGCCCCTTCTTGCCTGTAAGGTCTCTTTTGAGAAATCCACTGATAGTCTGATGGGAACTCCTTTGTAGGTGACTGTCCCCTTATCTCTTGCTGCTTCTAGAATTCTCTCCTTCATTTTAATCTTGGCTAATATAATTATGATGTACCTTGGTGTGTTCCTTCTTGGGTCCACCTTCTTTGGGACTCTGACCTTCCTGGAAGTCTATTTCCTTTGCCAGATTAGGGAAGTTCTCCTTTAATATTTGTTCAAATAAGTGTTCCACTCGTGACTGTTCCTCTTCTCCTTCTGGTACCCCTATAATTTGGATGTTGGGACGTTTAAAGATGTCCTGGAGGTTCCTAAGCCTCTCCTCATTTTTTTTTTGAAGACTTTATTATTTTTATTTTTTATTTTTTTAAATTTTTTAATTGATTATGCTGTTACAGTTGTTCTATTCCCCCTTTCATTCCCCTCCACCCTACCCCCCATCCCCACCATTACCCCCCTTTAGTTTATGACCATGTGTCTCAAGTCCTTTAGATTCTATATTTCCCATGCTATTCTTGCCCCCCCATCTATTTTCTATCTACTGTCTATGCTACTTATTTTCTGTACCTTCTCCCCCCTTCTCCTCCTCCCACTCCCCTGTTGCTAACCCTCCTTGAGATCTTCATTTCTATGTTTCCACTCCTGATCTAGCTGTCCTTTTAGTTTGCTTTCGTTTTAGGTGTGGTTCTTAATAATTGTGAGTTTGTTGTCCTTTCACTGTTCATGTTCCTTTAACTTCTTTTTCTTAGATAAGTCCCTTTAACATTTCATATAATAAGGGCTTGGTGATGATGAACTCCTTGAATTTGATCTTATCTGAGAAGCACTTTATCTGTCCTTCCATTCTAAATGAAAGCTTTGCTGGATAGAGCAATCTTGGTTGTAGGTCTTTGGATTTCATGACTTGGAATACCTCTTTCCAGCCCCTTCTTGTAATCTGTTCTTTCATTTGGGCCATATCTTTTTGTCTCGGCACCTATTACGTAATAAGGGGCAGAGCCTTAGGTATTCCAGAGGGCAGGGCAACCCGCTTTGCTTCACAATGGTTCTGTATGTGGGGGAGGGGGTCAGAGAGGAAACGATGACCCTTGCTCTTTCTCTGCCAGCTGTTAGTCACTTTCTCCACTACCCACAAGCAAATTGGGCCTTTCTGGTGCTGATTTCCATGTAGGTGGGTTTGTGTATATTCTAGTACCCTGTGGGTCTCTCCAACAAACTCTCCTGTCAGGCTGGGAGTTACTCCTGCCACTTCAACCCCTACAGTTTTTTTTTCAGACAGATGTCTTGAGGCTTTATTTCCCTGCGCTGGGAACCTAGGTTTCAGGGTCTATCTCACTCCCCAATTATTACTCCTATTTATTCACATGAAAATGTGAGACCGCCCTCTCCACCAGCCACCACCTCTCTTTAGCCACTGCCTTACCTCACGTAGTCCCTACCCTGGCTGCCCAACTCCTCCCTTCCCTCTCCCCTCCTACCCATCTGGATAAATGTTTCTTCTTTAACTCCTTGGTTGTCAGACCTCCATACAGTTTGGATTTTCTGGAAGTTCTGGTATTTTTTTGTTTTTAAATTTGTTGTTGTCCTTCTTTCTGTTGTGCAAGGAGGCACGGTGTATCTACCTATGCCTGCATCTTGGCCAAAAGTCTATACTACTTTCTTAATTAGAGGCATCTTATCTGCCCAGTCACTATTTCCAGATGCACAAATGCTTATGTATGTTAGCTGTATTTTGAAAGGCTAGAAAACTTATTTAAGTTCATCAAAATCCTAGATCACAGCAAAAATAAGCAAGTTATGCATTATAAGCCATTTAAAAATAGATCCTGGCACAACTAATGGCAAGTTTCAGTGGATTAACAGTTTGCTGCTGATTCTCCCAATGCAGATACAATTGAGAAGTACTGCAACTTAGTAGTACAGGAAAGACAGTAAATTCCAGAAGGTAACTGTGGTGTAACACTGTATTACAATGGAAAGTTTCAAAGTCGCCAAGTAAATTGCAACAGCTTTTGGTTTCCAAAGGGTGACTATGAACAGAGGCCAGACCATACAAACTCTTTCTCCCTAAAATGTGGCTCTGCAGTGGAACACTGATTTGGTTAATACCTAGAAAAATGAAATCTTTTTTTTTTTTAGTGGGGAGAATATCTACTTTGTGAAACCCATAAACCTTATCTTTCACTTTCAAAATAACCTAAATTCTATTAAAATAGAGGGAAATCTCTATTTTAAATAATAAAATTAGCTATGTGAAATAGTCCAAATCTGAAAATAGCTATTTTCAACTTATGCCAGTGGTCCTCTAACACACACTTTTGTTTAAGAAAATGGTGTGGATTCTTCACTGTGCTTTAAAATACTCGCAAAAAAATCTCCCTATATTGTTTAGGTAGATACTGTGGGCAAGAGTTCTACTCCTGGTAAATACTATGTACCTGCAAAATTTTATTACTAGCTTAATTTTCTGACAAGATTGACATCAGATGAACTAACAAACTTCCCAGTTACTCCATTACCTAAAGGAAAGAGAATGTAAGAGAAAGAAAAGCCAACACAAAATACTTTCTTTTAAAATGAATCTTCCCTAAGATAAATAAAAGTCAACCAGCCTATGACTGGGGTTTTGCATTTCAGTTGGATTTGGAGACAAGTCCTAATATAACCAAATTTAGATTACAAATAAGATTTACAGCTTTGTCAAAACAAATTATTATTTGACATTAATTGTTTAAACACATGTAACATGTTCTTGGTTATGTCGGTCCATTCCATTCAGGACTGTTGTGAAGACATTACCCTAAATATTTTAAAATGTTGTCTAAAGTAAAGAAATTTTTTCTAAATACATCTAAACATCCTCACTTATCCTCAAAACAGAGAACATCCTAGATTCTCTGTTTTGCTCTTCTGAACTGCAACAATACCAAAATAAGGTTCAGTCTGAACAATGTAGGGAAATTCCCTTGGAGAGATTTTCTGTAGTAGGGCTTTCTGAATTTAGAAGCAACTTCAAAAAGCAATTAAGGTTGACTTCTCATACCACTGTCTTTAACATCATGCAGATTTTATATAAAAGGCTCAGAGAGCTCACAGTAACCATTTATTTATTGGTGCCATCTAACCTTCACCCTCCTGGAAAATGTGCTGTGCCCTGCACTCACCACTTTCTCTTTGGATCTCAGGACTCCCAGCTTCCCAAACCGAACATGGAAAGGCGAACACTGATAGGTGCCGTCCTGCTGCCGCACCACAATGACATCGATGCACCCAGACAAGGTAGCTTGGTTAATGCCCTTGTAGAGTTCCTTCACAGTGACAATCACCTGCCCGGCCAGCTGTCCCACATAATTCATGGTTTGAGACTACAAAAGATAAGAAAAAAATCAGATGCAATGTTAACATTGAATTTATAGATCTAATGACAATAACAAAGAAAAAACAAAAGTGACTGAAGTTACATTACTAATGTGTACAATAGATTATCTACCATTAGTAACTTTGATGACTTTGAACCCATTAGTATCATGCTACCGCTGTTTCTACAAATGAACAATCCTAAACTGTCCTCCATTTTATCTAAAGCATGCGTAAGTTCCCTTTCCTTTCCAAGTATCAAACATAGTGCCAGATGCCATTACAGAATTTTCTGCAAAGTAAAGAACCTGCACAAAATCACCAAAGAACCCAGATCACCACCACTGCCCTTCTGCCCAAGACTCTTGGGTTCTCATGGCTATTGTAGCTACTCTGGCCATAGCAGACAAACAGAAAAAAACAACCAAAGATCACCCCCAGGAGAAACCTGCTGAAAGATGAATAAGTGAAAGTTGTTTTCTATGGGACTATTAATAGAATATTGTATATCAGACAGAAGCTAGATTAAATGAACTCTAGTGAGCTAGACTGGGTCTAACCTAATTTATAACATTTTTTCTAGGGAAAAAACCCCTTCAATGCCACAGCCCAACTTAATGACACATACACCCATGTCCCATAAACTTCAAAGCTAAAAACAGGGTTTAACCTTGTTCTTCAACTGCAATTCACTATTCAAATCAGGATCACCAGGCTGTAAAGAATCCTCCAGAAAGGGTCAAAGAAGGAAGTGAGTGCACCTGACTAGGTCCACTAGGGTCAAAAGAAAATGTTTTTCTTTGTCTCTGTGCTCCAGAGATGCTGTGACTACAGTTAGACCTGGCTTTACTCTAACCACAGGACGTGGCATCCACAATATGATATGCTGTGATGGCAAGTGCCCCTGGAACCCTCATAACTATTCCACTCATTAGGGAAAAAAAGCACCCTCTAGTTCTAAGATTGTCAAATTTCATTTCCGGTTATTGACTATCACATTTCTTTCCTTAGACACTGTGTCAAAGCACAATTCAGCAAAAGTCATTCTCTTGGAGATGGGAAAGTTGCAGATCAAACAAGAGAGCCTTTGTGCAGCTCTGGCTAATCCAGAGGCTGACTTACACTGAACCAGAGAACTGAGAGATGATTCTCCAGGTTATTCATCATAAGCACATCTCTCTCTCTCCAAACCCAGCTTTCGAAGTGTCTAGAACTCAAAGTAACTACATGCTCAGAAAAGTTCCCAGATCATTCTATTCTGTCGAAAAAATCTAAAGCTGAATTGTGAGAAAAAATGTCATCCCTTGGGAAAAGGTAGGGGCCCACTGTTTAAAGCTGAGCAAGTGCCTGCTGGCAGTGTCTGGATTATTTTTTTCTGCTCCTGTATACAGATTAATGTGTAATCACAGCCCAGTCATTTTACACCATGAAACACAGCTACAGTACTTTCACCCTGGAGATTTTTTAAAAATATTTTAAAGCTAATGTTACCAAGGCCCCCAAATACAACTACAGAAGGTACATTTGGAAGATGTAAACTAGCTGCAGAACTTATTACTAAATAACCAAACAAGGCAGTGTCCTCTATGTGGTAATTCTAAAACAATGACAAGTTGGTGATATTAATGGTTTTAGAATTATTTCTTGAATGAATAAAAGACTGATCAAATGAACTACCGATAAATCAGACTAAAAAAATAAGAAATGTGAGGAGGAAATAGTGTTTCATCAGAATATTCATATTACAACTATATTTAATTTTTTATTTTGAGATAACTGTAGATTCACATACATGTAATTGTAATAAATAATACAAAGTGATCACATGTACCACTTACCCGTTCCCCCAATACTAACAATCTCACACAATTCTAGTGCAGTATCACAACTGAGATATCAACACTGATTCAGTTAAGATTCAGAATATTTCTAACATCACAAAGACCCATCCTATTGGCCTTTTACAGCCAAACACACCTACTTCCCTCTCACTCTCTCCTTAATCTCTGCCAACCACTAAACTGTTCATTTCTTTAATTTTTGTCATTTCTAAGACAGTTATATAAATGGAATCATATAGTATATAACCTTTGGAGATTGCCTTTTTCCACTCATGTTTCTATGGAGACTCATTCAGATTGCTGCATATATGAACATTTTGTTCCTTTTTATTGTGAAGTTGTGTTCCATGGTATAGATGGACCATATTTTGTTTAACCATTCACGTGTTGAAGAACAGCTAAGCTATTTTAAGTTTTTGGCTATTACAAAGAAAACTGCTACAAGCATTCCTTTATAGATTTTTGCATGAAAATAAGTTTTCAACTAACTGGGGTGAAAACACCCAGGAACGGCTGCTGGGTTGAATGGGAATTACATGCTTAGTTTTTAAAGGCACTTCCATCAGAGTTGCTGTACCATTTTATATTTCTACCACCGATGTCTGAGAGATGCAGTTTATCCACATCCTTGGCCAGCACTTGGCATTGTTACTAGTTTTTATTTTAGTCATGATGACAGGTGTGCGATGATATTAATTTGCATTTCTCTACTGGCTACTGATGCTATCTTTTCAGATAATTTGCCTCATAAATATGTCATTACACTTTGTTTCATAAAAGTACATAACTAATTTAGAAGAAAAGGGAAACCTATTGTTTGTGCCTTATTTGGAAGGGTCACGGTGAACAAATTTTATATGTTAAGAATGTTTCAAAAAACAGAAGTGAAATAACATTCTGTCTTCTGTAGTTCATTTTTTCACCCTTTTACCAGAAGGTTTAGCAACCCAAAACATTCCATCAGAATTTCATATTCTATAAATAATTCAAGGTCTGTCCAGAAGGTATCCAGCCATGTACTAGGAAAAATAGAAAGTTATTGAAGAAGATACGAGATGCAAGAAATACTGTACACAGGACAATGATGTCTCAGGACCTTGGAACCTCACACAATTTTCCCAAACACCATCATCACCTTTGAAAGGGAAGTGATTTCAGACCATTGGTGAGATTCAGGAAAATGCTATGCTGCCCCATAGCATTTTCCTGAATCTCACCAATGGTCTGAAATCACTTCCCTTTCAAAGGTGACTCTAGTTTTGTGAAAAGCCAAAAGTTGTAGGGCACCAAATCTGGGCTGTAGGCAGGGCTGAGTCACCTGGGTGTGATATTTCACAAAATATTTGATATTTCACAAAAAACCTGTGTAAGACATGTAATGCATGAGCAGGTGGGTCATCATGATGAAAATGCCAATCACTAGCTGCCCACAGATGTGGCCTTCTGAATCACCCAAATAGTTTCCTTGGAAGAATCTTCAAGCTTAACACAAAATTCGTGCAGATTCATTCCTCTACTCAGTCATTTTGCATGCAAAGGCCACACAGTACACATGCTCACTCAGCAGCATCTACTGGCCCCACTGACTAGTACAGTGAAGTCACCATTGCCCACTTACTAACATTCCAGTCCACTCTCGTTGGCTGCCAGGTTTTATCAATGTTGTACAAACTGTTCTTGTTATATTAACAAAGGCTAAACTTTTTCCAGACAGACCTTATATATGTTCACATCATGCTTTTGGTCTTTCCTGGTACATACATTAACCAAATAGCATACAAGTACATAATCTTTATTATTGCTTGATGGTAGTGGCAATTTTTAAATGAGTTTTGTTACATAGTCTTTTAAAAATTCGTAACTGAGGACTTCCGCCAAGATGGAGGTGTAGGTGAAAACACTGCCTTCTCGCACAACCAAATCTAAAAACAACAAAGTTTTAGCAATAATAAACGCAGCCAAACCACAGAAAATTGAACACAGAGTCCGACAACAACGAACCACTCAGCTAGACTGTTAAGAGGGGCGGAGCCATCAGCGGAGCAGGTCGGGCAAAAAAGATCCCCCGACCAAGGCAGCCAAGGGTGAATCCCAGGTGTGGGGCAGCCACAGGCAGACCCAGTGAAGGCACAAGGCGGCAGGCTGACTGCGGTCACACATTTGTGTGCAGATAAATCAGAGAAGGAGCAAGCAGTGAGACAGACCGGGTAGGCCCCTGTGGTGGGAAGGAACAGAGGGGACCGCCATTGCCCCTCTCTAACCCTGCCCCCACATACAGCATCACAACCCAGCGTGGGGGGGGGGGCCTGCCCTGCCCTGGTGAACAACTAAAGCTCCGCTCCTCATATGTAACAGGTGTGAACAGATCAAAACATGGCTAAAGAAGAACTCAGAGTCCCAGAACCCATAAATCTAAGCGAACAAGAAATTGCCAACCTATCAGAGGCACAGTTCAAAACACTGGTGATCAGGATGCTCACAGAACTGCTTGATTTTAGTCACAAATTAGAGGAACATATGAAGGCTAAACTAATTGAAATGAAGGGAATTGCACAGGAAACCAATAGTGATGGAAAGGAAACTGGGACTCAAATCAAGGGAGTGAAACAGAAGGAAAAAAAATGACCAAACAGAAAAATATGAAGAAATGAGAATTCAAAAAAATGAGGAGAAGCTTAGGAACCTCCAGGACATCTTTAAACGTTCCAACATCCAAATTATAGGGGTACCAGAAGGGGGAGAGGAACAGCCACCAGTGGAAAACTTATTGGAACAAATAATAAAGGAGAATTTCCCCAATATGGCAAAGGAAACAGACTTCCAGGAAATCCAGGAAGCTCAGAGTCCCAAAGAAGTTGGATCCAAGAAGGAACACACCAAGGCACATCATCATTACATTACCCAAGATTAAAATGAAAGAGAGAATTCTAGAAGCAGCAAGAGATAAGCAGACAGTCGCCTACAAAGGAGTTCCCATCAGACTGTCAGCTGATTTCTCAAAAGAGACCTTACAGGCAAGAAGGGGCTGGAAAGAAGTATTCCAAGTCATGAAAACCAAAGACCTACAACCAAGATTGCTTTATCCAGCAAAACTTTCATTTAGAATGGAAGGGCAGATAAAGTGCTTCTCAGATTAGATGAAGTTCAAGGAGTTGATCACCAAGCCA